CAGCCACTGCGCACGCGCCCGCGGAAGTGGCGGTAGCCTTGTGACGGTTGCCACTCGGTGGGCAGAGCTGGCGACGGAAGGGCAGCGGTGCGCAGGCGCATCAACCGCCCTTCACGGTGCGCGCGCTGTCTGATCATCTGTCAGAAGGGATTGCCGTTTAGCGCCCGGTCCTTGGCTGAACCCCTCCCAGCTGTGAGGGCGCCTGCCCGGGCAAGGATTCGTCGCGACCCTTGGTCCATTTTTTTGTCGTCAAGGGGAATAGATCTCTCTCTAACAACTGTACTGGTCATGGAAAGGCGACAAGATATTCAAGACTCTTGCATCTTCATTTAAGTGGAAACCGAACTCAGCAACTGCGGCTTCCCCGGTTGGCAGTTCTGTCGGGTGTTTTATCACGTCGGTAAGAGAGTTTAGAATTGTCCATTAGCACTGTTTTTAGACTTTTCATGCTGCCTTGGCTATTTGTTTTATGATCTAGCAGTGACTGGTAACAAAATTAGGCCCGAAGTTACGTGAAATAGAAAAGTAGTTAGGGGCCTGATACTGTCCTCTAAGGGATTTTTCTTTTAGGAAAAAAAAAAAAAATTCTCTATAGCTCTTAAATCTCACTCTTCACTTGTACTTCTTTCCTGGATATGTCATCACCTTATAGTCACCAAACTTGTTTTGCACATTTTGGGATAAATCGAGATATTTAAAGATGAACAGCTGCAATTATTGAAGGTTTGTGTGGTATTGACAATTTGCTAGATACACGATTTCAAAGTAGCATAATCGTCATTCCCAAAGCATGGTTTTGGCAGAGTGTGTTTCATTTTCCATCTCTAAAAAGCTCTTGCTTTCTTCAGCAAAATATATAAATCTCAACAGCTTCATTAACTGTTAAAGTCTGCATATCTGTTTTTGTGTTTGTATACTCAGTAAAATGTTCACTAGGCTTAAATCGCTGCTTCCTATTCCTACTCCACTTCTGATATTTGTATCTAATATGATACTTCGGGCTGTTTTTTGTTTCAATGCATTTACTGTTTTTATTCAGGCTTTATCTGTTCCAGCACTACACAAAAGCCAATACAAGGTAAAGGGATTTCTGACATGTTATGATTTTTAACTTGTACATATTTAAAGTATCATATGCTGCCTGTTTTTGAATGCCTTGGATACTCTGATTTTCTTCATTCTTTGTTCTTTCCACTTCTTCCAGCTTTGTAGTTGCGTGACGGTTTTTTTTTTTTTCCCAAGGTGAATGTTAATTTTTGACAAACTTTTTTAAGAATACAGTTGGGTGCTTGCTCAAGTGTATAGCCTGTTTGTCATATTTAAATGATGAGTTACTGGTGTTTGTTTCCATAGGTATCTTATTTACTTTAGGTTAGCAGTTTCCAAATTCTGCTGCATATTAGAATCACCTAGGGGAGCTTTTAAAAATCACAATGCCCAGAAAGCACCCCATGCCAATTAAATTAGAATGTCTGGTAGTGGAAACCAGACATCAGTATTATTTAAAGTTCCCAAGTGATTCCAATGTGCAACAAAATTTGGGAGCCACTGCTTTGCTTTTATTCCTTCTTCCAGATCAGCAACAATGTTAAATGGTAACATCAGTCTATACCCACTCTCAAATATGAAAGGTGTGTTTTTCCAGTCTACCATCCATATCTTTGTTTATATATGTGTATCTGTGAACAGTATGCAGTATTGCTTCATTTGTGTTCAAAGTGTATGTGAATGGGTTGAAAATCACCATTAGAACACTACAATAATAGTTATTACAGTAAGATCCACTGATGAGTGCTAAAACTAGTGGTGAAAGTTTGAGGAGAAATAGGATATTTGCATAGTCTCAAAGTATCTCCCTCAAGATGTTCATGAGTTACAAAAGGAAAAATATTAACTTTATGGTGAGAAATCCCCCAAACACTACCTTATTGTTGTTGTTAGCCATCTACAAGTTGGTCCTGACTCGTGGAGACCCTGTGCACAATGGGATTGGATCATTGTGATCCATAGGGTTTTCATTGACTGATTTTCCAGAAGTACATCACCAGGCCTTTCTTCCTGGTCTGTCTTAGTTTAGAAGCTCCACTAAAACCTGTTCAGCGTCATAGAAATACACAGGCCTCCACTGACAGATGGCTGTGCTTGAGGTGCACTGGCTGGGAATTGAACCCAGATCTCTTGCATGGAAGGCAAGACTCCTGGTTTGATACCCGTAGAAGAGCTTGCCAAAAAATGCATAATCTCAGTCTAAACATGGGAAAAGATCAGACAAACCCCTACTGAGACATTCTCAAGATAACTGACCATTACTCTTCAGAAGTGTCAAGGTCATGAAAAACAAGGGCTGACTGAGGAAGTGTCACAGATTAGAAGAAACTAAGGAGACATGATGACTAAATACAGTGTAGGATCCTGGATGGAGTCTTGAATCAGAAAATGGACACTTGTGGGAAAATTTGTGAAATCCAAGTAAAGTATATAGTTAATAATATTATACTGATGTTCATTTTTTCAGTTTTGATAATTGTGCTATGTAAAGTGTTAAGATTAGGGGAAACTAGGTTTATGGAAACTCTACTATTTTTGCAACTTTTCAGTAAGTTTAAAATTGTTTCAAAATAAAATGTTAAAATGTTTATATGAATGTTATGATGTCATATATCATTTTTCTGCTTCTCTTTTCCCTGAATTTATACTTGCGTTCTAGCAACTAGATTAGCTGTTGGCTCTATTCCCCTATTGATGTATATTGTGGTTTTAATTTGCATTTGCCCATGGCTAATGATTTTGGGAGCCCTGGTGGCGCAGTGGTTAAGAGCTTGGCTGCTAACCAAAGGCTGTCAGTTCGAATCCACTAGCCGCTCCTGGAAACCATATGGGGCAGTTCTACTCTGTCCTATAGGGTCGCTCTGAGTCAGAATCAACGTGATGGCAACGGATTAATGATGTAGAACCCATTTTCATGGGCTTATTGGATGTTTGTATATCTTCTTTTGTTAAGTGTTCATTTCTTTTTGGGGGTGGGTATTTTTAGGCCTTTAATTATTATCTTCCTAAAACTGTACCAGTTTATTCTCCTGCCAGCAGTATATGAAAATGCTTATTTCACTCTTGTTAGTTCTCAGTATACTCATGGTAACTCAATGATGGAAAAATGGATAGGTATCCTTTTGTGTGTGTGTGTGGTAAAATACACACAACATAAAATTTGCTATTTTAACTATTTTCAAGTGTACAATCCAGTGGCTGTAATCACACTCACAGTGTTGTACAATCACCACCATTTGTTTCTAAAACTTTTTCATCGTTCCAAACAGAAACTCGGTACTCATTAAAGAATAAGTCCCTATTCTCCTATCTCCCCAGCCCATGGTATCTGCTAATCTACTTTCTATCTTTGTGCATTTGTTTATTCCAGATATTTCATATAAATGGGATCATGCAATACATGTCCTTTCGTGTCTGGTTTAGGTCATATAATTCTATGTGTAACTGTTTGAGGAGCCACCAGTCTATTTGCTACAGCAGCTGCACCATTTTACATTCCTGCCAGCAATGGATGAGGGTTCTAATTTCTCCACATCTTTGCCAATATTTATTATCTTTTTTGTTTTTTAAATAATAACCATCCTAGGGGGGTGTGAAGCGGTATCTCATTCCCGGGTTTTAATTTGCATCTCCGTAATGACTAATGATGTTGAGCATCTTTTCATGTGTTTATTGGCTGTTTGTCTATCTTCTATGGAAGAATGTCTATTGAAGTCTGTTGCCTGTTTTTTGATTGGGTGGTTTATTCTTTTGTAGGAATTCTCTATACAGGATATTAAACACTTATCAGATGTATGATTTCCAAATATTTTCTCCCGTACTATAGGTTGTCTTTCCACTTTCTTGATAATATCCTTTGGTGCACAAAAGTTTTTAACCTCAATAAAGTCCAATTCATCTATTTTTGTTGTTGTTGCTTGTGCTTTTGGTGTTGTATTTAAGAATTCATTGCCAATAGGTATCATTTCTAATTGTCCATGAAATGTTGTTTTACAGAAAAATGGCTACCAGCTACCCTGGACAGGATCGAGTAGTTGCTCTGGTGGACATGGACTGTTTTTTTGTTCAAGTGGAGCAGCGGCAGAATCCTCATTTGAGAAATAAACCTTGTGCAGTTGTACAGTACAAATCATGGAAGGGTGGTGGGTATGTATCATTGTTATTGTTATAATCATCAATTACTATTTTAATCTATAGGAATATATGCTAGGTCTTATTTTTGAGATCTCTGAATTGCTGTGTTTATGACTGAATGGTGGCATCTATGACCAAAAAGTTTGTACTGTTATATGTTTATAGCCTATTTATGTTGTTAAGTTTCTATTTGTTTTTTTTTGTCAAAATATAATCATGTTTTTCTGTTCCTCCTATTTTTCTAACCTTAGAATAATTGCAGTAAGTTATGAAGCTCGTGCTTTCGGAGTCACTAGATACATGTGGGCAGATGATGCTAAGAAGTTATGTCCAGATCTTCTTCTGGTACAAGTTCGTGAGTCCCGTGGGAAAGCTGACCTCACCAAGTAAGAAGAAAAGGTTATTCAAAGGGGAATAGAAGAGTTGGAAATAATATTCCACGTGGCTAGGAATTGGTGTTTCACATGTTTTGTGTAAACAATGCCTGAAAAAGTTCCCTTTGGTCAGCCATCTTGTCTCTTTGAAAAGAAAAGAAATTTTGATATTGCGGTTCAGGAATGTTTCAGAGCCATTATAGCCTATAACAGTTGCTACCCTCAGCACTGTTTTACTTCCCTAATTGTTTAAAAGTTGGTTGTTATAATTAAAACTGAATATCTCAATGCTTAGGGGACACTGAGCTTCTATTAAGGATGATGGTATAATTTAGGAATGAATAAGGGTGATGGTTAAACAACATGATGAACATAATGTCACTGAACTGTACATGTGAAGATTGTAGAAATGTCAAATGTTATGTTACATATATATTTACCACAAACCACCCCCCCAAAAAAACTGAATACCAATTCCCATGGTTTCAAGCCAGAAGTTTAAAGTGTTAAATAATTAAATTGACCGTGAAACTAAAAGTTTTTCCAGGGAAGGCTGAGTCAAACTGATACTCTAGTACAATATCTAAAATTATTTGCCAGAATTGAATAATCTCAAAGGAGATTACCTTATTTTTGAACCTAGCTGTCTCTCCCCAAATTTTAGAAGTTTAGCTTTGGAACAGAGACTGTATAGGCATAGCTAAGTCTGAGGTAGTCACAAGCCCCAGCCATTATAATAATCCTAATAGCTGGAATGTATTGAGCACATATGCCAGGCATTGTGTTAAGCTCTTTATCATCAATATCTCTTTTAAATCTCACATTATTATAAGGTAGGTACTAGTACTATCCATTGCCATCGAGTTGATTCCGACTCATAGTGACCCTACAGGACAGAGTAGAACTGCCCCATAGGTTTTCCAAGGCTATAATCTTTACGGAAGCAGACTGCCACATCTTTCTCCTGTGGAGCAGCCAATGGTTTCAAACTGCTGACCTGCCAGTTAGCAGCCGAGCTCTTAACCAGTGTGCCACCAGGGCTTCTTTAGGTACTAGTATTACTCCCCCTTTATTGATAAGGAAACAAGTTTAGAGAGGTTAAATAATTTAAGTTCACTCAGCTAGGAAGTAGTAGATTGAGGATTCAAACCTATTTTAGACTCCAGTATTCACGTATTCACAGTACTTTATACTGTGTGGTATGGTGTGGGGGTCATGCTTTGATTCAGAACTTGAAATATTCCTAAATTCACTTATGAATTAGAAATCTAATGATAGAGTGGTATAGCCACTCAACATTGGAGTTATTGCCAGAAAAGAAGATGAATTTGTAGATTAATTACTTAAGCACTAAAGCAGGATTAATTCAGTTAGTGGACATATGCTACACTGCATTGGATAGAATTTTGTGCTGGTGTAGACAATGTAATTTCCCTGAAATATATATTATTGACTTCAGAGTTTGATTCTGAAAATCCATACTACACCAGCTTAAAACTGAATCATTTGGTTTACTCTTAAAATCTTCCTCAAGCAGCGAATAAAGGCAGTTTTAGAAAATTGACAGTTGATGACAACTAACAACAACAATTCAAAATTATTTTAATAATTAACTTGAGAGACGAGATTATAAAAATATTATTTGCAGGAACATATATACAGTAAGTATATATACTAAGTACTTTGTATAAAGTTACTATCATTTATTTTAAAAAATACCTTGGGGTAATTTGCCTCAAGAGGCTGTGAAGGAATCCCAGTTCTGCAATAGAGCATCCTTTTCTGGCTCAGTATGTGTGTGGGTATAGTCCCCTTTCCACACCCAGGACTGTTCTCCTCCTAGCCCAAGTTAATGATTAAAAGAAAAAAAGCCAAAGTCTTTCAGTAATTTTCTCATGTGAGAATGTTTTAAAATAATTAACATTAGTTTTCACAGGAGTCTTATGAAGAGGTACAGATATTTCCATTTCTATGGTAAATGAACTAGGTTCAACAAGAACAAAGAACTTACTTTAAATTCCACAGCAAGTCCAAAGCAGAGCAAAGAAAATATCCACATATTGCTATAGAAAACTAGTTATTTAGGACCAGAAGAGCTGCTTATTATGGCTTTATGGGTCAGATAAAAGGTACATGATTAGGTTGGTATCCCCTGGGCAAGACTGTCTGCCTACCCAGATGGATCACTACATTCCAGACACTTCAGCTTGATAATTTGAATGTTAGTATATCCAGAAGTGATCACACTTGACGGTGTATGTGGGGCAGGGGAGGGGAGGGGAGAACCAGCTCCTATGTTAAGCAAACCCACTAGTGACTAAAGTATAAAATCCATAATGTCATTTATTAATTTATAATGAGAAATATTCTGAGGAAGACCAAACACTTGAGTTCATTGATCAGTGCAGTCTTCCTTGTAAGTTACCTCTTGTTTGAAGACAAAAATAGAAGCAGAAGACTGCCTGGTAAATATATGAAAATAACAAAAGGAATAAGTGACAAAAATAGAAGCAGAAGACTGCCTGGTAAATATATGAAAATAACAAAAGGAATAAGTGATCATACTAAAATGCTTTCTAGTAAAACTTGTGTGAGACATTTCTTTCCTCTTTAGAGAGATCCTTGCCATGTAGACATGTTCATGGTCTGGATGCTTTCTACCTTGATAGTGCTGGAGTCGCACTAAAAATATCTGCCTCAATGGTTCTTTCTTTTCTTTGCTTCTGTTATTGACCATCTGCCTGCCTACTCACCCCTTCAGTTGGCTTACTGTCTGGTTTCTGTCAAGCCATGTGTCTCTTTAAGGAGACTTTGCACTGATTATGTATATTATTTTATTGTTCCATTATGGGGGCAACAATCTCATTGTTGCCTCCATTTATTGCTTACACCTATGATCCGTATACTTCTTAGGTACCGGGAAGCCAGTGTTGAAGTGATGGAGGTAATGTCTCGTTTTGCTGTGATGGAACGTGCCAGCATTGATGAGGCTTTTATAGATCTGACCAGTGCTGTACAAGAGAGACTACAAAAGCTACAAGGTCAGCCTATCTCAGCAGACTTGTTGCCAAGCACCTGCATTGAAGGGTTGCCCCAAGGCCCTACAGCTGCAGAAGGGACTGTTCAGAAAGGTACTTCCATAGCATCATATTGCCTCTGCTTCCTGCCTTTGGACCCTGCTTTGCTTGGTCATGATGATCCTTCTTGGATTGATTGAAAGGAAATTTAAAACTCTAGCCTGAATGAATCACAGAGACTCATGTGGAAGGATGCACAAATTCTCTCATCTTTCGAAGTACATGGATTTTGAGAAGCTATGAAAGCAAGTTTCTCTTAGGTATAATTAGAGCAGGTTAATGTTATCAATAGAAGACCGAATGAGCATTTCTGTCATTTGTAGGTTGACTTACATTATTGTAACTTGGTTTCTTAATTGTAAAAAGGGTGAGAAATCTGGGGGAACCTGAAGTACAAGGAGTTCAAGCCATTCAACATTTCTGATCAGTTCCTAGCATATTATTACCAGTGGGCTGCGCAAGGCCCCTCTCATTTTATTTTACTTTTTTTACCCCTCATAGTGATTCCTACACTCCCCATCCCACCCACATTCTGGCACCCAATACTGTATTTGATACATCTCTTTAGACATGTATTATAAATTACACATGTTGCTTTGTGTACATGCTTTTTAATTTACAAGATGGTGGTGTGCTATATAGATCTCATTATTTTTCTTTCAATGGTGATTTTAGAGATCTACCCATATGGCTGTATTTATGTGTAATTGATTGCTTTTACTAACCAAAGGCTTGGTGATTTAAATCTGACCAGCAGCACCATGGAAAGAAGGTCTGGCGATCTACTTCTGTAAGATTATAGCCATTGAAAACCCTATGGAGCACAGTTCTCCTCTGACAAACATGGGGTCCCCATGAGTCGGAATCAACTTGACGGCAATGAGGGGAACTATAGCATAATATTCCATAGTATGGATCACCATGTCTACAGATCATTCTCCTAGTGATGAACTCATTGGTTGCCTCTAGCTCCCTACTGTTTGTGTGATGAATGTCCTCATTCATCCTCTTTTGAACCTATGCAAGGTTGTCTCTAAGAAATGTTCTCACAAGTGGAACTGCTGGGTCATAGGGTATACATATATACCTAATTTCACTAAGTACTACCAAATTGCTGTCCACAATGGCTGTACATAAGAGCTCTTGTTTCTTCCATATCCTCATCAACACTTGGTATAATCTAATATTTAAAAATATTTGCCAATATGATGGTTATAAAGTGGTATTTTGTTTTAATGTACATTTCTTTGATTACTAATTTGAGTCGAGCATCTCTTCATATATTTATTAGCCAGTAGAGTTTCTGCTTCTGTGAGTTGCTTATTTATAATCTTTGTTTATTTTGCCATTGAATTTCCTGCCCTTTTTTTTTTTTTTCTATTGATTTGCAAGGGTTCTGTTATGGATTGAATTGTGTCCCCCCAAAATATGTGTTGTAAATCCTAACCCCTGTACCTGTGGTTATAATCCCATTTGGGAATGAGTTTTCTTTGTTATGTTAACAAGGCAGTATTTAGCATAGGGTGTGTTTTAAGTCAATCTGTTCTGAGATAACAAAAGAGTAGATGAAGCAAGCAAGCAAGCACAAACTTAGGGGAAGATATATGCTACATGATTGCCAAGGACCATCCCCAAGAGTGGACACAGAGAGAGCCTTCCCCTAGGGCACCCTGAATTCTGATTTCTAGCCTCCTAAACTGTAAGAAGATAAATTTCTGTTTGTTAAAGCCACCCATTTGTGGTATTTCTGTTATAGCAGCACTAGGTAACTAAGACAGTTCCTTGTAGATTCCTAATTGTTAGTCCCTTGTCTATTTTTGAATTGCAAATATCTTCTCCCAAGTCTGTAATCCTTCTGTTAACTTTGCTTCTAACTGTATGTGGTTGGACAGAAATTCTTACTTTTAGTCTATCAGTTTTCACTTTAATAGTTGTGCATTTTGAATCTCGTTTAAGAAATCATTTTCTACTAGAAGTTCACAAAGATATTTCCCTACATTTTCTTCTAGTTGCTTATAGTTTACTTTTGGGTCTTTTAACCATGTGGTGTTCACCTTTTTTATTTGATTTAAGATAGGGAGCCATCTTAATTCTTCTATAGTGAACCAGTTTTCCCAACACTTATTCATTAAACAATCCATTCTTTCAACTTCCCATATACACATGGTTCTGTTTCTGTAATATTCCGTTAAAGTCTGTCTGCTTCTGCTCCAGAAAAACACCGTTCTTATTAATACTGTTTGTAGTATGTCTTAAGAGATTCCCCTTGCCATTGAGTGGATTCTGACTCATAGTGACCCTATGTTCTAGGGTAAAAACATCACAAAATTTAATAAAGCAAAAAGAAAGGTTTTATTCAGCATATATTCAAAGAGGCAAAAGTTGGAAACAGACAAGCATGCTGCCAGAGCCATGTCTGCCTGAATCCAAGGAAATTACAGAATAGACAAAAGTGGGAAGACGGACAAGCATGCTGCTACAGCCATGTCTGTCTGAGTCCGAGGAATATTACAGAATAAGCAAAAGTGGGAAAATGGACAATCGTGCTGCCAGAGTCATGTCTGTCTGAGTCCGAGGAATATTACAGACTAGGCAAGAATGGGAAAACGGACAAGCATGCTGCCAGAGCCACGGAACATTACAGAATCATCAGTATATATTAACATTACAAATGGGCAAAACCATTGAAAGCTTCACCTTTTCACAGATTGGCTACAAACTATTAAGTCACCATGAGTCTACATTTTGAATCATCTTTCTTAACCATCATTGGTACAGGTTTCAGTAACGACAGTCAGGAGGGTCTTCATTGGTCCACAAATCTTACTATTCACTAAATGCTGATAGAAAAAGAGTGGAAAGTATGTGGGTCTTTTGTGCTATGTTTTATGATTTGTTTCCATGAAAGGTTCCATAAAAGATGTTTTCCAAGATTGTCCTAGTTATTGTCTTTATACCTCAGGGCACAGTTATGTGTCCTTCTGAGTCCAGCTCCAGCTGGGTCCATTCTAGGACAGGGAATAATGTCTCCAATATTATCTCCTAAATCACTTATAGGACAGAACAGAACTGCCCCCTCTAAGGTTTCCAAGATGTAATCTTTATGGAAGCAGACTGCCATATCTTTATCCCGTGGAGCAGCTGGTGGGTTCGAATCACCAACCTTCTGGTTGGCAGCTGAGCAGTTAACCACTGCACCACCAGTGCTCCCTCTGTAAAGATTACAGCCTTGAAAAACCTGTGGGGCAGTTCTGTTCTGTCCTATAGGGTCACTATGAGTCAGAATCTACTCTATGGCAACGGGTTTGGGTTTGGTTTAC